ACATAATTAAATACTACAACATATACAACTATATATAGATATAAATACTTTATCAATGTTTTATTTGTTTCTTGTTTTGGAGCAATAATGTTGCGCAACTCCTTATGAACAATCAAATTGATATAAAATTTTAAAAATAATGAAAAAAAACACACTGTCCCGGGAATAAAAAATTTTGCAGTAAATATATATATAATTTTATTAATATTGTTGAACATATAAATAATTATATTGAAAGTTAATAATACAGTATAATATTAGCTTTAATTAAATAATGATTCTAAGTAAAGTTGAAAATTCACTTTAATGAAACCTTAATGTAGTTTTGTATAGATCTCAATGAATTAGATCTGTCAATTCTAATATAAAGCCTTGACAAATAAAAAAAATTGACCAGAATTATAATTACTGCTGGTTAACTTGACAAAATATCGAATTGCCGATCTTCTGAATCTTGCAAAATTCTATTTTTATCTTAATGTTCTTTAATAATAGAAATTAATTGAACATCGACATTTCAATTTAAAGAATTTTACTGCAATACTCTTTTCGATTTCGTCATGGACACTTAAATCTAAATTAGTTAAGGTGGTATTTCTACATAAAGCTTCAGCCAGTGCTTTTCCTCCTGATTCACTCATACCAATACCATATAAATTTAAATTCGTTAAGGTGGTATTTTCACATAAAGCTTCAGCCAGTGCTTTTTCTACTGATTCATCTAATTGATTACCACTTAAATCTAAATTTGTTAAGGTGGTATTTTTACATAAAGTTTCAGCTAGTGCTTTTCCTACTGATTCACTTATTTCATTTTCACATAAATTTAAATTCGTTAAGGTGGTATTTTTACATAAAGCTTCAGCTAGTGCTTTTCCTCCTGATTCACTTATATCATTTTCACCTAAATTTAAATTAGTTAAGGTGGTATTTTTACATAAAGCTTCAGCAAGTGCTTTTTCTCCTGATTCACTTAATTGATTACTACTTAAATCTAAATTTGTTAAGGTGGTATTTTTACATAAAGTTTCAGCCAGTGCTTTTCCTCCTGGTTCACCAACCCAATTACCACTTAAATTTAAATTAGTTAAGGTGGTATTTTTACATAAAGTTTCAGCCAGTGCTTTTCCTCCTGATTCACCTATTTCACAATATTCTAAATCTAAATTAGTTAAGGTGGTATTTTTACATAAAACTTCGGCCAGTGCTTTTCCTCCTGATTCACCTATTTGATTCAATGCTAAATTTAAATTGGTTAAGGTGGTATTTTTACATAAAGCTTCAACCAGTGCTTTTCCTCCTGATTCATCTATATCATTACTACATAAATCTAAATTAGTTAAGGTGGTATTTTTACATAAAACTTTAGCCAGTGCTTTTCCTCCTGATTCACCTATTTTATTAAAACTTAAATTTAAATCCGTTAAGGTGGTATTTTTACATAAAGCTTCAGCCAGTGCTTTTCCTCCTGATTCGCCTATACCATTACGACCTAAATTTAAATTCGTTAAGGTGGTATTGTTATATAAAGCTTCAGCCAATGCTTTTCCTCCTGATTCACCAAGATTATTCCGATCTATATATAAATATGAAGATTCAGCCACTGTACTTCCTCCTGTACCACCATTATCTAAATTTAAATTCGTTAAGGTGGTATTTTTACATAATGCTTCAGCCAGTGCTTTTCCTCCTGATTCACTCATACCATTATTACCTAAATTTAAATTCGTTAAGGTGGTATTTTTACATAAAGCTTCAGCAAGTGCTTTTACTCCTGAATTACCTATACCATTACAATCTAAATTTAAATTCGTTAAGGTGGTACTTTTACATAAAGCTTCAGCCAGTGCTTTTCCTGCTTCGTCAGTCAAATTGTTGTTTGCCAAATTTAAATCAATAAGCGTGCTGTTGATACATAATGCCTTAGCTATCGCTTGACCTGCCCCATTACATAGTTTTTTGAACTCAAATCCAAATATCCTACGGTAGGATTTGCGTATAAAGCTTCAGCTAAAGCCTTTCCTGCATCATCACATCGCTTATCATGATTCAAATTTAGATTGCTCAAGGTGGTAATCCGGTAAATAGCTTCAGTTATTGATAGGGTATAAGGTTTTGAATCTAGAATTTCTTGTTAATTGGTTGTGTGAATTTGTATATATGTAAGTTATCATTTTGAATTAGGTTCATATTTAAGTAATAATGCGGGTTAATGATGTTAAATGGTTAGATTAATATTAATTCAATAAGTATTCAATAATTAAAGCAATACATACCATTATTAAATAACTTTCTTCGTTTTATTTCATCTTGACAAGACAGTATCATAAGTAAGTCCAGCAATATATTATAAATTGATAAAATAATAAAATTTAAACTTACTATCCTTATTGTTGTCTTCAATAGTGTGTTTTTTTAAACTTGATGGGTTCATCGTTGAATTTAGATTGTTAGCATTTTTAAGGAGTTCAGGACTGTATATTCATTTAATTAAAGTAGTAACTAATTTATTTCTTTAAAAAAATAAAATGATAGACCCATTTACTTACGTAAGATTAACTGAAACAATGCTAAGATTTTGAGAAGTATCTGTAGAGCCTGATAAATTTTGAAATAATGAAAGCATCGAGTCTATTGTAGGATTTAATAATTTACTGTGTGTTTTAGAACAAGGATGCATATATTTA